ATGATCTTCAACCGTTTCAATGTGTCCATGACTTCAGGAGAAATTTACTGAGCAAAGTTATCACAGATTGATCGAAAAGTTGAAACATAGCGTCGATAGGTAATTGGACGAACATTTATCTGAAAATTTTAAAAAATAAAAACATATAGAATAAGAAAATAAAAAACGCACAAAAAACGCACAACATAAGCATAAAATACGCACAACACAAGTAACGATCACGCATAACATACGCATAGAGTACTCACAACATACGCATAAGAACGCATATTTCAGAAAATATGGCAGCAAATTATACGCACGCAGTATGTACGCACAACATAAGCAATTATCACGCACAGTATATGCATAACATACGCATATAGTACGCACAACATACGTGTAGAGTACGCACAACATACGCATAGAGTACTCGGTGCTTTAAATTTAGTTAGGTTTATATTTCAAATTTCAACATAAATTCATAAACCCTAAATACAGAGAAAACCCGATGGAATCAAAGTATCAAACAAACATTTAAAAAATTTTGAGAAGCACCACATACGCATAGCGTAAGCATAAAAAAATGAAGAACTTCAAAACCTTGAACATCTACGCATAGCATAACCATAAAATATGCAGAACTGAACAGAAATCATGGCAGCAAATTACCTTTTTCTTGGTGGGTGACGACATCTGAGAATGAATTGAGGGAATGCTTGGAATTGCTCCGTATTGAATGTTTGGAAGTTGGAACGTTTGCTGGAACTTGAAAACCGTAATGCAACGTCTGACATTCGACCTTTATCAATGTTTAAATGTTGATGCCACATCGACATCTCATTAGGCGCAATTAGGGGTCGGAACTGAAAAAAAAAATTAGGTTAATTTTATTATGAGTAAGCCTCAAAACCTTGGGTGGTGTGGGGGTTCGGCCAACTAAAAAATGTGAGGCGAGGCGCGCCTTATGGCGTGCCTCATTAAACTTGAGGCGTAAGCTTCAAAACCTTAACTTATTGCGTAGGCTTTGAGGCTTAAAGGGACCACATTGCGGTAAGGCGAGCATTTTATTGCGCAATTTTAAACCATGGGTGGTGTGGGGGTTCGGCCAAGAGAGAGATGGGAGGTGGTGCCTAGTGGTTTGGGGAGAAGAGAGGGGAGGAGGTTGGTGGAAGAGGTGGACCACAAGTCCAGACGCTTCCTGCGGCTGATGGGTAATACACTGCCCTCACCTAAGGACTTAGAACTCTCACAAGAGCTCTCAAACTCACCAAAACGCAAGTGCAGAAAATTTTCTTCATATTCACCATCATCCCTCTCAAGAAGAAGAGGGGGCTATAAATAACCAAAATACAATAATAAAACCAAAAGACAAAAGTGCCCCCTGGGGTCACATGAGCCTACCCCCTCAAGTGAGGATAAAATAAAAAAAAAAACACAATAATAAATCAAATTGCAAATAAAAGATTAGAAATAAAAGGGTGTAATCATGGACATAGATCTCCGGCCTTGTCGCTGATAAACTCTGCACTTTCGGATATCCTCATCAGTGTCATTAACTTGCGGATTGTTTTTTTTTTTTTTTTTTTGGCATTGTGCAACTCATCCTATGTTGCATTAGTAAAACATAGCGCAAAGAATCCTACATGAAATTGCTAACAGAGTTTATGGCTATAATATTAGATCAATCAAAAGAAGTAATAAAGGAACTTGAACAAAATCAAGTGATGGCTTTAAATGAACAAAACAAAATCATCAAGAGAATTTAAATTACATTCCTAAATTCAATAGGAAGTATAATCATATAAAGTTTTCATACTAGATTGATAATTTAAAATGTTTTTTTAAAGATTATAATTTATTTATTTATTAATGACTTGGATGTGCTAAACAAAACTAATGTCATATGCTCAATAATTTTGATGAAATATTTAAAGTGAAACTAAATCTACATGGGCTAACCTGAAATATAAGCTCATAGAGAAACATCTATTATTTTTTTAATATAAAGATCAACTGTTTGAAAAACTCAAGTATTATCAGTGAAATGAATATGGCATATATGAAAGCTATGATAGATTTATAAATCCGTAGCTAAGCATCATTTGCCTCGAGAAATTTTGTTAATATTATTTATTCAAATGAATGTCTTAAGCATGAGAATAAGAATAAATTCAACTATAATTTCCAAAAAAACACTAAATGAGGCCCTATCCAAATATTTGGATATTGAGTTATATTATGAATATTTTCTTAGGACCATCACACATTCAATTAAAGCCCCAAAGAAAATTTATTCTCTCTCCTAAGCATGATATACAAATAACTAGTAGTGGGGCATAACATTAGAGTTAATTAACAATTTACCAAAGTAATCAGATTTATTAACTTGCACATCCAATTGAAAGAAATTCAAGCAAAACAAATCAAAAGATCAAAAATAAATTGAATTAAAGTCCCTAGAGAAAAATCATTAACTTATTCTCTCAAGCCTATCAAACATATAACCACAAACCAATCAAATGTAGACGAGTTTGATTTTAATGAAGAAATTATAGCACTTCTATTTCAGGAAGAATTAGAAGAAGTATCATAGTTACAATCACACTATTTTGATGTTATTGAATCTAAACATGAATCAATATTATTTTTTTTCATGAACCACAGCGCATAATTAAGCAAGAATTACAACTTGTGTTTAAATTTGAAATTAATTATAAATCAGAAAATATACCTCCATTAGAAATTGAACTGCAGCTCAAATTGAAACTACAACTGCATTCGAATTTAAAGTAGATCGTGATTATGAATATGAACTTCTAATAAAAACAAGTATATTCTTGATTTTGAAGTGATCGTTCAAGAAAAGTCAACCCCATACCCTCGAAGCCACGTCAATGTGATCAGAGAAGCACAAGAACGGTTCTTATTAAGGCAAGTTAGGTTTATTTTAACCAAGTTTTTACTGAATGAAATCTAAAAAAGGATGCTGTAAGTCACTATTATTATTCACAAATATCTTAAGCTTAAGAAAAGAGTTGATTCACAAAATCATATATTCCTGTAAGATATAAAGGCTGTCCATATGTTCAAAAAAATTATTGCTTGGTTTCACACAAAACTATTATCAATGTTAAGTGACTATGGAACCCTCAGTCCTATTACTAATCTAAGAAAGTTGAATGAAGTATAATTTCATCCCGATTTAAAACCTCCAAATTATATTTTGTGTTCAGTCGGTAAGCATTGATGATATAAGAGAATATGTAAAACTTCATGGCCTCCATTATAGAGATAATGCTCCCAGAAAGTGCTCAAGCATGACTTTTCAAAAGGAAGAAATCTATCAACCCAAGGGAGTTATACATTACAGGTGATGCATAAGAAAATATTTTGGTATATTTTAGCACGTTTTGAATTTTACTAATACATTTTTGGATAATTTCATACTTTTTTCCATTATTAATGTACTTGATATGAGGATTAACTTCTTTTTAAATTAAATGATATAATTTATCTATTTTTAGGATTTATCTTGATTTATATTTTTGAACTAGTATAAAAATAGGGATAGAAAAATCATGTATTTTCAATATCTTAAGATTATTATAGGTAACTACTATAATTCGTCTCTCCCTCTTCCTCCTCAAATATGATTTCCTCGGTCACTCGTAGCATGCAATCCATATACCTAGAACTATAATCCACAGATTTCTAATTCAAAAGACAAAATTCACAAGACAACGGATTCCTTCCTCTCTCCATTCTAGACTTCCATCGATACTCTCTTCATCCTCTCCCCTTCTCTCTTCAATCCCTAATACCTAGAAGGTAGAATACAGGAAGAGAATATAGTAATTCAAAGGCACACTTAAAAGAGAATGAAGAGAAATATCAAAAATAATATTCATCATTAAGGCCTCCATCAATTTAGTATTAGTGCAAGCTTAGTGTAGATCAACAGATATTGGAGTGACCGTATTACATAATTACCATCAAAGAAATCTAATTACTTCTTTAATACACATAAAGGCATATAATACTTTTTTCTTTGTTTCTTGAACATATAAATAATGAGCATTTCTTTTACATTTAAATACAAACCAGATCGACAAACTAGGGATTTTAGTTTTTAGGAAGGCCATGCTTGCTTGAGCTTGGCCAGCGGGTGTCAAGCCTAGCATGGTTACTTATTGGGCCGAAGAAAAGGTGATTCACCATTTCAAATATGACATGTGAAACAACATATTTTTATTCAATAATTGTTTAACAAATTCTAGGCATCCCTCAAACATGACACCAACATAAAATGGGCACAATGTACGTCATTCTAACCCAATCGTATCCCAAACATTCTTGATAAAATTTTACCTCTTATTTTATTATATCTTAAAATTTTTACTTACATATTCCATATATAATTACTATATAATAATATTTTTTTCCTTTTTAGCATATTTTGATAATATGTGTTACTACTTAACAACTTCTATTTGCTACACATTTATATACAAATCAAGTGCTCTACAATTGCATTTTTAAGGATCTATCGCCATGTGACTATAATGTACATCATTCTAACCCAATCATGTCCCAAACATTCTTGATCAAATTTTACCTCATTTTATTATGGCATCTTAAAATCTTCACTTACATATTTCAAAGATTAGTACTTTATAATAAAAAGATTTTCTTCCCTTTTATTATATTTCCATAATATGTTTTACTACTTAACTACTCTTATTTGCTGCTACTCATTTATATGCAAACCATGTGCTCTACAACTACTTAACTACCTTTGATTCATAATATGTATTACTACTTAACAACTTTTATTTGCAACACATTTATATACAAACCATGTGACACTCTAAGTATAACGTAATGTCATATCCGTGAAAATATCTTCTGTCCGTATCTCCAAAATTAAGAGTCATGTAGTGAAGTTAGATACTTAGAATCAAGATCACAGCTATATAGAAGATTAGGAATTTTGGTAAAATGGAATTTATTGACCTTACCATGGTAATTCCAACCTCTTCCACGCCCACCACCTTGGCCCCAATTCCAGTTCTCATCTATAAGGCAAGTGAAAATTACATAGAAACAAGCAGGAGGAAACAAGAACTATGGCAAGAAGTTCAGCTTCTAGAAACAAAATTAAGCAACTACGCAATCCTGCATGTAGATTCAAATCTGTCTAATAGAAAAAAAAAACATACCTTGATAGTTTCTGTAGCCACCATACCCATCATATCCACCTCTTCCAAAACCCCTTCCTCTTCCTCTACCTCGACCTTGTCCTCGACCATACGAGTAATCTTCACAAAGAAATAGAACCAATCCTTAAACTTCCTTCTATACAACAGTGAGGCAGAAAAAGATCAGAAGTACCATCATTATAGGGATTTTGTGCCTGTCTAGGCTGATGATAAGTTTGCCCCATTTGCTGCTGTCGGGGTTGATGCCTCGGTTGTTGCCTTGGATGCCCTACATTTGATGCAACTTGATACCTATATACAGAAAAACATTTCAGAAAAAAAAAAAAGAATGCCGTCACAGTTCCCACCACCAAAAAGGATCACTTTTCATGCTACAAAAAAAAAAAAGATTACCCAGATGAGTTGACGTTTAGATCCCTTGTGGAGAGAGTTATTGTAATCATGGAAACATGCCTTGTCGTCTCCAAACTACAGTAGGCGCTTGATGGATTAAAATATTTCCAAGGCCATTGGTTTGTTTCACTTGAAAAAAAAAAAATGCTACTTACGGTACAAGACCCTCTTCAATAGGTTCCCAAACATCAGTAATGCTGCTTGAACTGATAGAAGTATCTTGATACAATCCGGGAATTCGTTTCTGTAATTAAAGATCTGTCAGGTCCCTTACACCTCTGTTTAAAATGATTCAAATGGTGAAAGAAATTGGAATGAGTGCCAACCTTCATGATCTCGACAACAGCTACAGCCTTGTTGATAGCTTGTCCCATTGCCTTTAAGACAATTTCTCTGGCGTGCTTATCCTGTGGCAAGTAACCTTTGCCCAATTAGCAATAAATATATCATGCAAAAAGGACATGCACTCTTGTAGCAATTTTTTAAATTACATGCACGAATCTTAGTCAGAAAAAAATTTGTGTTAGGATGGTCTCAGAGCCTTTGAATTTGCTTTGAGAGAAATGCTATATAATTTTTGAGTGATTAATTGTGTATTGCACTCAGGTCAGAGCAGAGACTTTGAGATTCATCCAAAATGAATTTTGATCAGTGTCGGCCCAATTTTTTGCCCATCAAACTATCCATGGCAATCTACATATGAGCTTATAAATTCTATTAGTTCAATCATAAGGATCCACATCAAGTCCCTAAGGTATAAAAAAATTGAATTAACATTGATTGCTGAAATACAATTTTAGTTTTCCTCAATTATAATAAGTTATGTTGGATGTAGATTATTCGAGATCGTTGAAGGTTTTATGAATACTTTCAGAGGAGAGTCTAGTACATGCGTAAGGCCTAGATCTTCTATTTGATAATTTCTACTGTTATTCTTTCTATCTACTTGTTAGTAAATGGTGCATATGTGATTGTGATTTTATCAAAAGTGATATTTGTCATATTTCTTTTTGTGGTGTGCATCTTGATTGCTTCTAAATTTTATATTTGACCTCAAATTTTCTTGCTAAATTTTAATTTTTTTGCGTCGATTTAGTCATTGTTAGAAGTCAAATAAGTATGTTTTCTATTTTTCCATTGACAGAAAGTAATATTTGCTAAAGTTGAGAGTTATTAACTTGAAAATTGTAGTTTTTTATGAGCTTTCATAGGTTGCATTAAGAAACCATAAACCCTTCAATGTCTGACATCAACTTAGGTTACGCCATCATGTCTAATAAAAACTAGGACATAATACTTGGGTCAATAAAAAATATCCAACTTAAACAAATCATGTAAGTAAGGGTTCCATACAAACCTAACTTAACCAACATGAAGATTTAAATTGCATTCCTACACTTGATTGGATGTAAAATCTTGATCAATAATTTAGAATACTTCTTGAAGATTATTAATTATTTAATTTTGAAATATTTGAATATGTTAAATTAAAATTAATGGGAAATGCTCAATTATTTTGGAGAATTATTGTAAGTGAAACTAAATGCACATGAATTGAATTAAAACAAAAACCTAGAACAATATATATCATTTATCAAACATAGGGATCAACTGCATGACTAATTTAAGCATCATAAGCAGGTGAATATGGTGCGTGTGAATACTATGCTCGGTTTATAAATCTTGTAGATAAACATCATTTTCCTCAAGACTTTTGTTATCATTATTTGTTTCATTAAATGTCTTAGTCAAGAGATTGGGAATAAATTAAGTTATAATTTTCTTTAAACTTAATGAGGCTTCATTCAAACCTTTTAATGTTGATGCATGTTATGAATACTCTGCTACACATAATTATAGCTGCTCATAAAAACATTATCTTCTCCTCTCAAGCATGATATCAAAATAAATAAAAATGAGGCTCAATATCAAGATTAGTCAATAGTTTGCCAAAGAAACCGGGCTTTGATTTACTTGCAAATTGAAAGAATTTCAAGCAAAAATAGTCCAAATAATCATTTGACATTTTCCCTGATCCTTTGAATTAATTGTGAAAGAAAAATACAATAAAGATAACAAAGGAGTTTCTTCTCTAACTCGCTTTCAGAAGCTACTGGCCAACTATGTGTGCAGCAGGAATAAAACAAAAGTTTGAAGAAAGACATGGAGAGAGAGAGAGAGAGAGAGAGAGAGAGAGAGAGAGAGAGAGAGAGAGAGAGAGTCCTCCATTGATTTAACAATGTTATTCATATGCTGTAACTTAACTAAATCGATGCTTTTTTATCAGATAATCTGTTTGGCTGACTGAAATTAGCTTAAAATTTTGATCCTGCAAGGTTAAGCTTCCCAAAACCATTGCAATCAAGAAGGAGCACTAACAAATGGTGAAGAAAAAGATTCAGCAGCAGCAGAAGAAAAAAAGAGGCAAACAGCTAGCTAGATCTCTAAGCTTTCACTCAAGTCAAGGAACTCTAGTTCCAGTTTGGATAAAAACATCTTTCACTCCTCGTATTGTAATAATTCAGCCAATGAAGAAACAAAGTGCTGTTACATTGGCCTGAACCTCACAGTTCAAATTGACCCAGAGAGATTGTGCTCTAATCTTCAGCTGTGTACTCCGCTACACTCATTTGCTGGAGATAACCTGATTTCATTTGTTCTAAACTCTATTCAAACGGAGAAAGGTTCAACCAGGAGTTTTTAAAGTTTTCTATTAGTAAAATCTGGAAGAACTAAAAAAGGCGTCCCTTCATTGTGATTTCCTCATATACTCTTAACAGAAATTTGGAAAAACAAAGTCCTGTATAAAACATAAATTCATGAAACCCAAAGGAAAGGTACGCGATATTTTAAAAGAAAATAGAAAAAGGAACAGTAAAAGCTAATAATTGGCGCAGCTAAGCTCACACAAACAGGAAAACCCATGTCAAAGATATTTATAAAAAAGAAAATACTTATTAAATACATGAACTCCCATTTAAGCGTCGAAACAGTAAAAACACAAAACAAAGCAAGAATACTGCCTTCAAAGCTGCAATCCAACAAACCTCAACATCAGCAAATGGTAAACAGATTTGGCAAGAGAGAGAGAGAGAGAAACCTGGAAGAGACTAGTTGCATAGCTGATATAATTTCGAATCATGCCCTGAGATGTAATTCTGATCTCATTCTCGCTTATAGCCGACTCCGGCCTCGGCTTCTCCACTCTCTGGTATCTATCCATGGCCGGCGAGCTAAGACCAATAGAACAATAGAGAACCAAGTAAATAGGTTTCAGCTAGGGTTAGGATTTCAGTGGAAGATCAGCTCCAGCGTACTGTAACTTCAAAGCTCTGTGGCTTATAACGAAAAGAAACCTCTTCCCCGCCCTTCCAAGATTGTCAGAACAATACTACGAAGAGATTAGGTCAATTTATATGGGACTGTAATAATAATATTATTATTATTTTACATTTAAGTCAATTAAAATAAGTTCATGTGTGAGCTTAGAATTTTAATTGATAGTTAAAACTCAAAAATAATATATTAAAATGAGGATATATATATATATATATAACTATTATGCCCTTATATTAAAAAATCATAATTTTATTTTTGCTTTCTTTTAATCTTTTATTCTGCCAAAATTCTTAGATTTAAAATCAAATATATAAAAATACTACTATAATGAATGATATAGACACTGAGTAAAAGAATTCTTTAATTTATATTGTAGCGCTTTAAAAATACTCAAATAAAATAAAACATTTCAACATTTTGTAAAGATGTTTAAAAATTAATTTAATGATTATTTGGTTTTAAATTTTTGAATGTTTTGATGAAAGTAAATTAAACTCGTAGTAATATTTTGAAGATATAAAAACTCTCATATTAACTCGTTTTCTAGATTATTTTATATATTTGATTGGACAATCTAAGTGAAATTCAAATACATCATACACACTGAAAGTGGGGGTTATCGTTTATTCACGACTAACTCACTTATTTACTCATGCCCTTGCTTATTTCCGTTTGATATGCTGTAAAGAGGGTGTAAATTATTTCAAATGCTTTTAAAATATTGATATTTGATTGAAATTAAAATGAATAGAGGGTGTAAAAGGAGTGCATTCTAAATACTTGAATGTTCTCATATTTGGGCAATTTCCAAATACACTGCAAACATATTGTAGGCCGCTGGCCACAAACCGCCGCCACCATTAGTTGCTGCCATCTGCCACCCTCCACTACCGGCCTCCATTGCCGCTCTCCACCGCCGCCATTGACCATCGGCCACCCACCAAAGAAACCATCGGTTGCTGCTCTCCGTAACAATCCACCACCGGCCACTGTCTTTTGCACTTTACATTTTTTTTTACTTCGAACCAAAACAAAAAAACAAAATATGCATTTCTTTCCAATCAACTTCAAAATACTCTTTTTATATTATATTCTTTTTATAATGTATTTCTTTTTGAGACAATCAAATAATCCCTAACACACTCCATTCATGCAAATAACTCTTGTCCACGAGATGAATCAGATTCACAGAACCATTGTAAAAAGAAGGTCTAGAGTAAAAATTTTTTGTTTTGATGAGGTCCACATGGGGAAGGGCCAACCCTGATGTCTATATGACCACGCAAACATTAGCGTGCCATCATTTGCAATGAATATGGTGAGGCTCCCAATTGAATGCCAAGCTGTAATATTCCTATCATGATTCCAATTTCCTCTGCTCCTCTGTGGAATCCTGTTGCTCATGCATAGGATTTTCTTTAGAGCCTAAGAAGTCCTTCCATTTCCCCCTTTCATATTATAAGGTAATGTCATATTATTAGTTACTTCTGAAATTAAGGCTTAGTTTGGGACGGCTTTTTTGCTGCTTCTTAAAATAGCTTTCTAGTACAAATTTTTTTTTTACAAGAAAGCTGTTTTAAGAAGTAGCAAAAAAGCTGTCCCAAACGAAACTTAAATAAACCAACAATTTGTTTTGTCGACGGTTTTAAAGAACAATTTCATAGATTAATGTGTCGAATCTAGGTTTATTTGATGGATGATATATGATCGTACTTTATTGGTCTACCTGTGAGCTAAGGATCTATAGGTGAGGATGATGAAGGAAGAGAGAAAGAGAAACAGAAAGAGAAAGTAAAAGAGCAGAAGATAAATATAGATAGAATATTTATTATATCAATTACAATAGAATGTGTATGAAATATATGAGTTATACTATCAATCTTTGATATAGCTCAACGAGTTGTGTCGAGTGGTGTGATGATTTTGTGAGACAATGACTTACGTATATCTCTAAGCTCAATGTCAATTTGATTATGAAGGATGTCTTATGGACGAGAGGTGTGCCTTTAGTTGACTTTTGATAGGTCTCGCATAGAAGATTTGACGTTAGCTGAACAAAGACTTATTTGACTTAGAGAGGAACTCTTGTGGTTTTTCCCACTAGGGAGGGGACTTCTTGGAGTATGTGGCTAAAGGTGGCCGTCATGCTCTAATGATAAGCTCCTTTCCAGCTCCCGGCGAATCCCTCAAATGAAATGTCAAGAGAGACTTTGAGTGACCTAAATGTAACAGGCAAGATATATAATAGGACACATGCATAAAATTTTTTAAAGAAAAAATGTACACCTTCATAAACAGTCTAAAAGAAACCCGAAAATAATAAATGCTTATTCCGTAGAACGCACTAATTTAAGACGGCTTTTCAAAATTCGTTTAACTGGAGATCAGAACGGTCATTATCGCCATGCTTTAAATGAAATGAAAATACTGACATTGGAGCAATTAAAAAAACAGCACTGCAAAATTCCACAGACATAATCACCTAACTTTAAATGGCATTTACAGTGAAATCATTCGAATATTACAGTTCTAACCAGTTTTTATAATCATATATGAAAAACATAATTAGAAACTCTTACTGAAAGAAATGTTTTCCAACGTAGGCTAAAGTTTTAGGCTTTATAATTTCCACAAGTTCGTCACCTTCAGAGTTCAATTCTAAATTAGCTTCATTCATAATTTTCAGTACATATAATAAGGTCACACTCATATAAATCTACACAAAAAGTGAGATAGTGCTCCGATTTTGTTTAGTGAACCAATCAAAATGGCAAGAAAATTACATAATTTTTTGCTTGGTAGAATGTTAATTGATCCAATTGAGGCTTCATTTGGTACTGCTTTTTCATTGTTTGTAGTACACATTTTAAATTATAAATTTTTATACTACAAAACTATTTAAAAAAATAATGAGAAAGTCATCCCAAACGAAGCCTGAGTTTCATTCAAATTTTAGAGTTTCAGTGGAAATTTCCAAATCAATCGATACTAAAAATGGAGCTTGTGTGACTGATCTGAAACCATCGATATCAAACATAAATCACTAAAACTTAAACCATGATTAAGATCACATTGTGATAATACACATCATTAAGATGTACCAAAATTGAACAAAACATTAGCTTCTTCAACTTCATACATGCAATAACTCATGTCCAAGAAGCATATCCTATTCACAAAACCAACATTAAAGCCAGGGTCTATGGTTCAAGAACAAATGGCTCACTGCTTCCAGCTGGAAAAAAAAATAGTGTTTTAATGATGCTCCCAGGGAAAGGGCAACCCTGATGGTCTGTATGACCAATTAAGTGTCTCGGCGTCTTCAATTGCAGTGAATCCGGCGTTGCCCATGTTTGGATTCCAAGCTGCAATGTTTCTAATAGGAGCCCGATTGTTCATGTTTGGAATCCTATTGTTCATGCCTCTGTATGGACCCCGATTAGCCCTTCCTCTGCCCCTTCCTGCTATAAAGTAACAATTAGAAAAGGAATACATTTATATATTCATTTTAAACTTTTTTTTTATAATTACTTTTATGTTACATAAAAGGCTGTTTGATTAACAGAAATCTGATATATATAATGCCATGTTATTAATAGAAATTAGTAGTTTGATTTGTCTGACATCTTTCAATAACAATTTCATATTTCATATAGAGTAATGATCTACTCTCCCACCCACTTTAATTAAGCCACGCATTGTGGGTACTATTTCATAAATGATATTCTTGTCCTATTCTAATGTCATCTTCGATGTCAACCAGATTTGCTAACGACTGCATATTAGACAATCTAATGAATAAAACAAATGACAATAAAAAAAGTCAAAATCAATATTGTTCTTTCTATACATTACATTTATAGGGAATAGATCATTAAACCAAACCCAGAATGTAATGTTATACTATTTATAAAGAAATATTTGATTGGAAGTTATCTCCAACGCTGATGTAATTTGAATAATATTAGAAATCAAGTTAGGGTAATTTAAATATCAGCAAAATTGGATGTTCTCGATCGAGATGGCTTAAAAATTTATTTAATCAAAATAACATTGCCTCATTAAGTTCAACAATATTAAATAAATCATATTGCATTTGAAAGATAATACATTTATCTAAACAGCATTGCAATATAGATAATAATTACTTTGAACAAAACAAACTCAAGGTTCTATAGATATCATTGTTATCCAAATAAACATTGAACCAAACCGCTCCTGCAAGATTATATAAAGAATCATTAGCTTCTTAAATACCTGGAAATGGAGGATTATATTGTTTGAAAGGTCCAGGCATTGCATTGACGCTCTTGTTAGGAATCCACTGGGCCCAGTTATTTCCGTGCTCTGCTTGGAAGGAAAAATTACTTAAGCAATGCTTTTGTCTTAATTTTACATTTGTGAAAAAATAATGACCAGCACCCATATGTTTATAGGGCTCTTAAAAATACTTGAAACTCAAAACTCGCTTGAATATAGATTGATTCAAGTTGAAATACAACCTAAATGAGCATTTGCATAAAATATTATAATTTATAGTATGATGTTTGTCATATATATATATATATTAAAATCAATTTTGAGTCGATTTAAAATTAATTCATTTCGGGCTAAGTCTGCTAGACTCAAAATGATTTATATTTTGAGCTGCACTCTCGACACAAACTTCAGTTAATATATGCCAAACAAAGCAATAAGAATACCTGCAGTGGGAGCATTAGGCTCATTCCCGCTTCCCTTAACCAAAGCTTCTTCCCACTTATCTTTCCTAGCTTGATCATCTTGACAAGGTTTTTCTTCTTCTTCTGGGCCATGAGCTTTCACCATTCGGACATCAACAAGTGACAAATACTCAATCTGGATAGGGATTTCACCAATCAGATGGAATCTAGAATGAAAAGGACCGGGGAACACATAGTCTTGCATATACAGACTCACCTCTAACGAACCATCTTCTTTGTATCGAGAAGCATTTGGTTGAACACCGATCCCATGTGAATTCTCTTCCGACATGAGCACATAATCTAACACCGGGAGCAATAGAATTTGAAGAGTTTTGTGGTCAAATGATGAAACTTCTCCAACCTATAACCAACATAAGTTCTAATCACTGGAAATAAAAGTGTTATGGTATCCAGATCTTATGCTTTTTAATCTGCATATAAATGAAGCCTACATTTGGCTTAGAGAAATTAAGCAGAAAGTATTATTTAACACATAATTACATCTTTCTTGTTTGATTTTGACATTTATAGGAAATTGATTTTATCCTGGAAATTAGAACAGTGCATATTTCTCCTAATGATTCTCTGTTTAAATCCACTGAATAGCTCAAGTAGAATTAAAGCATGAATAACAATAGCTTATGTTATTCTTCAATTTATTGGTAGTCTTTCAAACCAATTAAAAAAAAGAATATATTTCCAATCAATTTCTCCTTAACCAAACAAGTGAATGAAAACTAATTTCAATAAACATTTCTATGAAGCACATACATATAAAAAGATTTTTGTCCGTGCAAAAAAAGTGTAGTACCGTTACACCGTTGACGCTCCCAAATACATTTTCAACATATTGAAAATGAACACGACTAGAGCATATGTTGAAAGTTGAAACAATGAAGACATGCACAAGCTATTGAACAGAATGCTAGTATTGGTGACGATAATAATTATAGTGCTAAGAGTGTTGAGTCTGATTAGTGATACATTATTGTGTCCATATTTTATTTCGTTATTGTGAATATTACATTTTTTTCAAGGCATTAGGTGTTTTGTCTATATAGTACAATACTGATAACTGACAAAGTCATATTTAATGAATAATGATTAATGCTTGTCCTGGTGTTATTAACAATTAAGTACACTTGATAAATAAAAATATAATTACAAATAAACTAATATTATTTTTTATTTAATTGATCATTAAGCTTTTATGAAATAAATATTTGATTACATTTCATTGTGATGCTTTTTTGATAAACAATATTGACATTTTAAGACTTTTGAATACATATTTATATTTAATAATTAAAAATATATATCGTGTTCATGACATATCTTATCCTACTTTTTATATCCATCTCATGTTGTGTCCATATCCATGCTCAAAATCACTTCTTTTACTATCAGCATTTTCTTTTCACTTTCATGCCCTCTCATTCAATTCCATCAAACCAAACAAAGCCAAAGAGTTCAATAATGTTTTATTTTAATAGTTGATAGCTACATATTAGAGCTCATACTTGAGGAGACGAAAGTTGAGGGTACACCGACGATGATGGTTCGACATAGCGATATGCCAGTATGTCACCTTTCTGCAGCAAATTCAATTCACAAGTAAGTTTCACTATAGAAAATAAAATTGACAGATTACAATTTTCACATTTGAAATCATAATTCAAAGGGCCGAATAGATGCTAAAAAAGCATGCACTACAAATGTGGAAGATGAAAACAAACTTAAGATAATATGGGAAAATATAACGTCATGAAGGAAAAACAGGTTTATTTGTACACCAGTCCAAATAGTTTGGAATTTCAAAAAAAAAAAGTTAAAATTGCCAAAAAAAAAAAAAAATACTTTACCTTATTTTGTAAACAAGGACAGCCAAGCCTAAAACTCTGTCATACATGCTCGAATTTCTTAAGCTAGGATATTACTAATAGAGCTTAATATGTAACCCTGATAGTGCTACTAGAGTATAACCTAATTTGTATACCAAATTACCAATATTTCATCATAAATTCTAAATAATATCAGGATGTCAAGAAATTCAAGCGTGTATGTCAGCAATGATTTCCATTGTTTGCGAAGTAGGATACATTGTTATACTTATTTTATTTGCAGAGTTTTAAAATAATTATCCTTTTTCACAACAGAATCAAACAATAGAGAGCTTTACACAAATAATCTAAAAAATTATTAGTAAAGCATACCACTGGTAAACGACGTAGAGGGGGAAGGATTGCAAAATGTATGATGTGTTTACAAGGCTTTTTTATGTCGACAGGTGAAGATATCACTTCCAGTTTTGGAAGTGGCAATATCCCATCAGAAATAGCAGCACCATCAACCTTAAAACACTGATTATTATCATTCTCATTATTCCTATCTTGCTCCTTAATGCTGTTTTCCCCGTCAAGGAGTACTGGCTTCAGAAACAAAAACAATAATTGCTAAGAATAGTAAGCATGTTGAGCAAATTAATATCCGTTGGTAGATTAACAAAAAGAATGATATACTTCCTATTCTTCAGATTGTAAAAGCATCTAAAACAAATCATTTGAGAATCTTTAACAGCATTTCACTCTTTAGAACAAAAGCATATATATATATCAGTTTAATAAAATATTTAACATTTACTTCTTATAAAAATTTATAAGATTTCAGGTATTCCTAACATTTCCTGGATATATAAATAGCAAGTTGTGAAGTTTACAAATCCTAGCTGTGATTAAATGAACTCAACAATAACGAGATGTTAAATTAGTACAATTTATCATCAACCTTAAAGCACCCAAAATTAGCCAGTGAGAGAGAATAAAATCACATATTAATAAGGAATTCTTTTTTTTTTGTTATTTTCCTTACAAATGACTACTTGTAGGGCTGAATGAAGCTATAGAATTGGTAGTGGCCACAGTTAAATATATTTAAAAAATTTCAGAATGCCAAATTCAGTTCAAATCATTAGAAGTTTGATATAAAAACATTGAACATATTTTGTTCAGAAAGTTCAGTTTTTGAGCAAAATGGCATACTTAGCTTACACATATACTCATCTGTCCAAATAAATCTCACCCTTTAAACAACCGATCCTTACAACATTCAAGCCATGAGGGCTTGTTGAAATTGACGAGGGCTGCCAAACTAATTAGGACTTGTTCATCATATGATGTTGCAAATAGTCAATGAAAGAAATTCTCATCTTAGTTCGAACTTGGAAATTATAGCTTAAAGGCAGGTTTGAGTTATACCTGTGTCTCATCTGCTTGTTGACTGCCATGTTCTGCATCCAGAATTACTATAAAAGGATTTAATATAAGTTTTATTCCAATGGAAAGATTAAGATAAAAATAGTTTTAGAAAGACTAATAGATAAGAAACATGAATTTAATCAATCAGCAAAATAGTGCTTAAACAAAGATTTATTTAAAATAAAAAAGAAATTGTCTTGAATGTATATTCAAAATCCTGACACCTAAAACTCTATTCTTTATTATATAAAAAAAGATGTGCAAATTCATAACTTAAATTACCTTAAATTACCATAAGTTGGACATTGAAAAAATTAACAGGAATGACTACGACACAAATCAGCTTTCGCTCGCTCAATAAATGCAAAATATAAATCACAAAATTAGCAACCTGTAAACACTGTTCTATAAAGGTTTGTTTTGATTTATGAAGGAGAGAAAAAGTACAATTAACATTACCATGAGGCTGAAAACTAATACAACCAGCTTGAACTACAGAGCCTACAACATATTCCTCTCCATCAGAACTATGTGGAGACATTGGACGTCTCGCTTGTTTTTTCTGCACATCATTTTATGGCATTAGATAATTAATTCATTGCAATTAAAGAGAAATAAATAGGTTTTTTTTTAAATACCCAAAAATAACATTTCTGATAGTAACATTTTTATTACTAACTAAGAAAATCAGTACCATCAGGAGCACTAGCAGCAATCTTATCTCAATCATTACTAGTAAGTTTTATGTATTCTTTAACACTATTCAATCAATAACTTACATTTTAATCATTCATAATCCAACCAATAATATTTTTATGAGATATTTATGCACATATCTCTGAAATCTAACCTATTTACAAAACAACCACTAATAAAAATAATTAGCAAATTCATATATTTGTGTATCACAATCTCACCATTAGAATTTGCCAAAAATGAAAATAAGGGCAGCGATTTTTTGTGCTAAAAATTTTATGGATGAAATCATGAAAGTAAAAGATTTATAGTTTTGAAAATGAAAAAATATGGGAGGTATGCAAGAAGGTGAACCTTTTTAATTTATAACTCATGTTCCAAGTAATAAATGCAACATATTCAGCTAAAAGTTTCTAAATAGGTAGGCATATATTTAACAAAATAGGAAACACAACATCTTTTTGAGGCTTATTCTTAATTATTTTCAGCTACCACAACCATTATTTTATTTTTCTTCGTATAAGGCATGTGTTTTATGGAAGTGCACTAATCCCATTTGTACGTCAAACAATTTTGAAGAAAAAGAAATAACACAATTAGCACTGAACCTATAAATCCATCAAAGATAAAAAAACAAGAAAGAAAAAAATAACCATATCAACAAATTATACCTACTGAAGTTGCTTGATATAAAATGTAATAGAATGACATCAAATTTAAATGTGTCAAGGGAAAGAGAGCTCATAGTGTGAATAATCAAGCCAAAGATTGTTACAAGCTGAAACCAATCAAACAAAATCAAGCTCAGCATCTATAGATATCTAAATGACCCAGCATAAACTATTTTTTCAAGTAAAAACTTTACATTCATGAAAAAGAAATAGCCTATGTCCAAACCTAGTTTAAAAACTTTGCAAAAGGGGGGAGAAACTATTAATGGCATTCAGGTAGAGTAGTGAAAATGGCTATGTTTAGGAGTTAGTTTGTATGCATCACAATGCGTTTGGAGTGAAGCGATTCAATTTGTCATAGGAACTAAAAGGAAATGGGGCTACACCACAAGAATTGGCTATTGAAACCCATCTTAGAGCCTTTCTCGATGAATGGAAAGAATTTTAAAAGAGAAGATTATTCATGATAGTGAAAGGGATATCTTGAAGAGTCCAAAAAAAAAAACTGTAAGATGAAGCCAACACACGAGTTAAATAATGGGTTCAAAACTAATGAACTAGACCAAAACAATCTTGTTCGACCAATTTTGTCCATTCTTTCGTCCAGTTATCACTTTTAAATTTGTTGTATTATGGTTAATTGGCTACAAGTTAGTTTATCTTTATCTTCGATAAATTTAACCAAAATAAAAGGAAATTAATACGCTTTTGTTTTGGATCCGATGAAAACAAAGTAGGATAAGTGATGTGAAATATATGCTAGATTCAAGAATTGCTTAGGAATAATAAAGAATTGACAAGCTTAGCAATTATATAACAATGGTGATCAAGGGCTGATTTAAGCGACTTCTCAATTGTTGATAAAGTAATAGCAAACAATCACAAGTATTGGTGAAAAATTGTAAAATAATAATCAAGACAATAGGTACTTATCCGCAAGTCACACAAATCCCACAATTAATAATTAGAACAATCACATTGAAGCTTTCTCACTCACACTCTTCGAATAATTTCAGCGGAAGAAAGTTTGATATGATATTAACAATGCCACTAAGAAGAAGTAAATGTTTAAGATTTTGAACAACAGAAAGTTACCCGAATAAGAAATAGTGGGTGGGCTGGAGGTGAGTTTCCACTGGACAAGAGGTCTTCGATGGTCAATGGCGGTTGTAACAGAGAAGCTAATCTAATCCATGTATTCTTTAACGGTGTGGTCAATCTCGAAGTCGATGTCGAAGAAGGGAGACCGGTGAATGTCGACTAAGCCTTGATAGTCAAATATGAAGCCATGATCAGGCTCAAGATGGCCATCCATGAATGACGGGGTTGTCCCTGGTTTGGGGAAGGAAGTTCGGGCTTGGCTTGCTGAAAGTGAAGAGGAGGTGGCGGTTAGGGATAGGTGTTGTTGGCTAAATAAAAGGAAGGGAGGGGGAGAAGGGGTGTCAGCACTAGAGAATTAGTAGGGGAGGGAAGTGGGGGCAGCAACTATGAAGAATTAACGGAGAAAAGAGGAGAGGGAACTAGCTAATAGGAAGTTAATAGGGGGGAAGGGGAAGGGGCAGCAACTTTTAGGGAATTAATGGAGAAGGGAAGAGATGGAAACTGTTGGGAATTATTGGGAAAGGGAAAGGGATAGCAATTAGTGTAGAGTTAATAGGGAAGTGGGAAAAGGCATCAGTCACTTGGATTTAATAGGGGGAATAGAAAAGGGCAGCAGCCACTAGGAATTAATGGGGAAGGGGAAAAGGTAGTAAATAAAGTGGAGTTAATGGGGAGGGAATAGGAAGAGGCAGCAGCCCTCGGGAAGTCAATGGGGAAGAGGAAAAGGTGGAGGGAATACCAAGAGGAAATGGAGTAGGGGTTGGCCGGCAATGGGAGGAGAGGAGGGTGGGCTTGTGGGTGAGTGGGAATAGAAGGGAGAGGAGGTGATTTAGCTATATAGGGTTGCAGGAATTCAGTTGTAGGAGGTCAGCAGGGGTTCAGCTAGCTGTTTGGAAGAGGGGTCGCTGGTTCGGCTGTATGGAGGAAGATGGGGCGAGGAAGGAGAGAAGATAGAGCCAAAAACCTTGCCACGACGTCGGTTCTTGGGTGTTGCATTGCTCTACGCCTAGGGACTTCTCTATTCACTCAAGAAGACTCAAACACAATTTAGGAAAAGTGAAATCAAATTCACAAATAATCGTCATTTTACTACAATAGCCAAGGCCCAATATATAAGCCTCAAAACATGAAGGACTCAAAAAACTAAAATGCTCCTTGCACTACAACACTCATATAACTCAACATAAGGGTAAACTGAGAAAGACTAAAAAAATAAAATACAATAATAAGTAAAATGCATAAAATGGACTATAAGTAAAGACTCCTAATCATGGCCATCGATCTACAGCTCCTCCTATGGTAGACGCGCCATGTTTTTTCTGCATGTACTCATCAATAATGTATGATATGAAATAATAACATCAAAAAGTGTGAAAGTGGCATTTATGAAAATAAGTTATAGATTGTTAGAATTCATAGAATTTGAGAAGGGTAAAAATACCTTCTGCTTATACAAAACTATCCCTATTTATAAATCTATACAAGATGTCTTAATAAAGAAATAAATAACTTCTAATTAATACATAATTGCCTCAATATAATCCTTCCTAATTCAGCTACCCAAATATAGAAGGATATTGGCGTGATCCAGATGAGCCTCCCACGGATTCTCATCCTGACTGTAGGATCAAATGCCAAGGGATGACTGAGATTTTGACACTGCCCCTCAAGCTGAAGACCAGCTTGCAATTACTCGCTCAGAGGTAGAGCTGCATTGGTTATAGATAGGATATCAACCACAAGAGAAAGTCGACAATGAAGGTCGATGATGGAAAACTATCCTCATAATTCCGACAATTAAGGCAGGAGGTGGGAATTTTGTATTCCTCAGGTTTCCAGCAATGAAGGCCGGTAGTGGGAACATGTATTTCTCATAATTCCAGCAATGAAGGCCGGTAGTGGAAACCTATATTTCTCATAATTCCAGCAATGAAGGTCGGTGGTGGGAACTTTGTATTCCTCAGAAATTCAGCAATGAAGGCTTCTCGGACAAAATTTTCCTTGTCGACAATAAAGGTCGATGATAAAGATTTTCTCCTTTTTTTCACTAAAAAAGTTTTTTTTCTCGGTTCCACCCCCCAAGTCGCACGCGGGCTTGGCTTCCTCCCGCAAGTCGCAGGCGTGGATCGTCTAGGATGTGCGATCGGAAGGGGGGATCGAGCGGGCTGCTTCACTCCTTCGTCGACTTTCCCTTTCTGTCGGATCGGGTACGATGCTCCTTCGGCTCTTATGTGGTTGTTCGACTAGGCTCCTTCCTCTCGGATTGGAAGTTCCGGTCGAGTCGCTCGTCCCGTAGGTTCTGTCAGGTATTTAGCTTCGTCAGCACATCTCCTTCCTTTTGAAAGCTTTGTCTTCGTGAGGCTTCGATCGTCCCGCACGGCTTCGTCTGTCCGCGAGGCTTGAGCTTCTTCACATAAGATCAAGACTTCCGGCTTCAGCTTCAGGGCTTCGGGGTTTAATGTTTGCAGAGCGGTTGGTCTGTCCGATCCCGTCCCGGATCGAAAGCTGAGGGCAGGCCGCATTTGTCCGGAATTGTAGGCAGTTTCGGGCGCTGTCTGGTTGTTCGACTCCGTCTTCTTGCATTCGTCCGAGTCGGAGTAGCATCCGCAGCGTCTGGCAGCTCCGATTTATTCTTGTTCTTCTTTTCCTCCGACGATTCTAGGATCGTTCTTCAATCGGCAATGAAGGCCGCTGGCTCTAATACCATGTTAGAATTCATAGAATTTGAGAAGGGTGAAAATACCTTCTGCTTATTATACAAAATTAACCCTATTTATAGATCTATACAAGATGTCTTAATAAAGAAATAAATAACTTATAATTGATACATAATTGCCTCAATATAATCCTTCCTAATTCAGTTACCCAAATATAGAAGGATATTGGCGTGATCCAGGTGAGCCTCCCACGGATTCTCATCCTGACCGTGGAATCAAATGCCAAGGGATGACTAAGATTTTGACATAGATATTAGCATTAGTTGGTTTTGGCATGGAAAGTAGTAGATACACTCATACACCAATAAGATCAACGGAAAGAATTAATGTAGAAGGAATAAGGAGAACTAGTAGAACAGATACAACACAATTATTGTTGGGATCCTAATAGCATCGAGTAGAGCAAATAAAAACCTTTTGCTAAGTCAACTCCAACTTGATAAGAAACCAAAAAGATACAATGAATTTTTAAGGTGAAATAACACTATTTAGATAAACAATATAGAATAATAAGAACAAATATCAAACCTTTCTTAAATCAGAAGTATTGCTAGGCTCAAAACCATTTTCATGGTTAATTTCATCACATTGGTCCCTGTAAAAAGTAAATGAAAATGCTTGGTCAGGATTGTAGGAATTTTCTTCCACTAAGGTGAAGAAGATGATATGTAAGAAATAGTTGAGATCATAATGGAATTAAGCAGCCAAAAAAAAAAAAAGCAGAGCAAAGACAAGTTAACCAGAATTTGAATTCCCTAGAGTGTTTTAAGAGCCAAGTATCCAGCATAGTGTTGACATTCTCATATGCAAAACGGCTCTGAGGATCATGTATCATAAATTCATATAAAAGGATACCAAAAAAATCAACTTTAGATCAACTACGTCATAACCAATCAATGAAATCATGTATGTTGAACTACTAATTTGGAAAAAGAAAAAAAGAAATTTAATTTTCTAAAACACCATAATCATCTTCACAGGTAAATTATTTAATTGATTTATGGCCAAGAACTAGAGGTTTTATAAAGAACTAGATGAAATTCACAGCCAGCTAACACATCCATTATGCCATTTTCACTTCCACTTGTGTTATCTTCAACATGCAATATATTCTTTAAATTGCCACTAGGAGGGTTAGCTAAGTGAAAGAATAAAATAAGAAATAAGCTCACCTTCCATGATAACAAGTTACAAACCATTTACCATCTTGCATAGTGTCAAAGAAAGACAACTTTATATTTATATGTATAAACATAGCGGTCAAATAGCTTCAATCTAATAGTTGACCACTAAAACCCTTGTGATAATTATTAGAGGAGAAAATTCGTATTTTATTCACTAGATATTCCAAGTATTTATAAAAGGAGAATGAGCACAAGATTTTAAGGCAAATCAAAATAACACATATCACTCTCCACATATAGAAGCAAAGGACATGGTAACTAGCTTGAAAGCAAGACAGGCAAACATGAACAGAGACCAAGAAACAAAAATAAAATTCTAAGTTGGCTAGAAGGAGGATGTCTCAACAGACAATAGAGTAATAGTAGAAGAAAGAGTAGAAGAAATATTGATCATCGAGTAATAGACATTACTAACTTCAACAACTCCAGCAATCAGCTTCCGCAAGCTAAGATCCTAAAAGACAATAAAAGTGATAAAACATTACAAAACAATTATGAGTCCTTATAAGATAATGAATAGATAAAAGATTACCAAAAAATTATGGGGCTTAGAAAATATCAGAGAGAGAGTCTGTATAATGACCTTTCTAGGCATGGGAGAAGGGGACCACAAAAATTGGTAGAAAGGTCATACGAAGAGATGAAAAAAATTAGCAGTTAACTATCTCATGAGAAGAGGAACCTAAATCTACAATTTATGACGAACAACAAGAGATAGTTGCCGCAGAAATGGATTAAGGGAAAGGGAAAGGTTAATACTATTCAAGAACCATGAAAGAAGAAAATATTGGGCGCTTTCCAATTGGATAGTGTCTATGAAATCTAAAGGAGACATCAAGATGGAGTTTTTTGGAGAACCAACAAGCAAAAGGTCTAAAACCACAAAAGATATATGATGGTGAAAGTTTTTACTAATTGAGAAAAAAAAAAGAGAGAATCCATGACAACATGTAAGAGTGAATTTGAGAGTAAATTTGAATCATTTAAATTGGGTATTTAATGAAGTGGCTCTGTAATGGGTGCAATCGATCATTGCAATAATATTGCGACTACTATTGCACGAGTGGAGAGCAATCAAGTAGTATCAAAGCATGGGCTGATGAATGATATTGCATCCATATGGATAGAGCAAGTGCATGAGGTTGTTTTGCAAGCATTGTGTAAAATTAAGAGAGCAGGGGTTTCGATAGTAGCAGTGCAAATAGGTTGTTGAGAGCGAGCATTACAAATGGGAGCAGGCATGTACAACAAGGAAGAGCGAGTCTAGAAACAAGAATGTAATCGAGGGTGGGAGTAGGATTAAAGCATCATCAAGCACCACAAGTTTGAGGATAGGCACGCCCTGCAAGTTGTAGCAAACAAATGGGATCAGGCAAAGGGTTCAAGATGAGGTCTCAATGTGAGGTAGTGGCATTGGGGACAGAAGAGGTGATGACAACTATGACTAACTTGGCTATAATATCATTTTAGAAGTGAAAATTGGTGTGTCTAATTACTTTATTTATAAAAAGAGAAAGAACAGAGCATTCTAGGATACACCCAAAATAAAATACACTACTCCCCAAATACAGAGAATTTGCCTTTTTAATATGATTCTATACAAAAAACCATAAATTTGGGAAAACATACAACATTAAATTGCAATATTCGCCAAGTTGTATAATATTTTTTCTACTTGGAAAAGAACAATTGTTGGAATCCACTAGGCCGCTAGCAATGAATCCTAAAACACTTATGATCGAATACATTTGCAGAAGCATGGAACACATTGCATGGCCAAACATAAGTTTTATCAGTAAGAAACTAAAAACTAGAAAAAGTTCAAGAAGGATGATATCAAGGTAGAGTGTAAATGATGAGCTTTATTTTTTATTAATTCAACAAGAACATGCTTAAAGCTTTGCAGCATGGTACATAGGCCAAGTAGAGAGACTGTGGACATAAAGCATGAAGCCGAATATTCAACATATGTAACAGCCACGAAGAATCAAAATGAATATGACCTCCCATCAAGTAGAAAAAAAAGTTCTTAAAAGCCATTCACCAACTTATGCATCTACTCTCTTGACATGCTTTTTAGAATAATAAAACAGGATAGCTACCATAGAACTTTGCATAAGCAATAAAAATGATCCTATTTTTGCACAGAGAAAGCTAACCGTCAATCATGTTATCGCTGAATAATGCAAGAGAAAAAGTTGAAAGTCATCGTGATTTCACCAATACAATAAAATAAAATATTTGAAAAAAAAAATCATAGATCAACTTTCAAAGCACTTTAATCACTGAGTCTACCAAAATATGCTAGTTGCATACTACAATTAAAAAAAAAAAAAAAGACCATTAGGCATTCCAGGAATAGCTTTCCCCTTAATAGGATATAAAGAACATAATCGATATACTAAAGTAGTAGAAACCACTTTCATGCAGACAGAATAAACCGAAAGAGTAAAGGTGAGTTTTTATTAAACAACTATTACAAAATTATCCATCAATAAAGCTCTAAAATCAGACATCAAAGCCCAAGGCACTAAATACCATAAAATAAGAAGTTACAGAATTCAGGCAACCTAAGTTACAAATTAAATAAAAACTTCTTGGGGAAGTAACGAAAGTTTGCATTTAGGACTGTCTGAGTCGGTCTTTGAGCTACCTCAGCTTAACTTGACAAGAAACAAAAAAAAACGAAAGTAAATCCCAGTTGACTCAAAATTGAATTTGATTGGAGTCGAGCAACTCAACACAAACTGATGTAAAATGTATATGCCATTTACTTGCCTAGGTGGCAAGATTACTTAAATCTCAAATCAATTTGGGGAGAGAGAATAGAAATCTGAAATTAAATTTTAGATTAAGTGGAATTGGCGGGATGAATTTGAATTTAAATTCAAATTTAATGGGAGAATTAAATTGGATGAGAGGGAATTGTGGGAGGTAATTAGGGAGGCTTAATGAGGGGGGCTATTAATGAGATAACAGAGAGATTATGCCCAATGAGGGGGCCGGCCACA